ATGCTTAAGAGAAGGGTCCCACCTGCAGTTCCTGGAATCATGGTATGAGAATCTTGTTTATTTGTAGTGTTTTTCAAGAAAATGAAATGATGATTTTGGTTGTGTAGTTTTTGTCAGGGGGACAATCTGAAATGGAAGCTACCTTAAACCTGCATGCAATGAACCAAAGCCCTAACCCATGGCACGTGTCCTTTTCATATGCACGGGCCCTACAAAACTCGGTGCTCAAGGCATGGCAAGGGCTGCCCGAAAATGTGGAAGCCGGGCAGAAGGCACTTTTGACACGTGCAAAAGCAAACTCATTGGCTCAGCTTGGAAAGTACTCTGCTGAAGGTGAAAGTGAAGATGCTAAGAAAGGAATGTTTGTCAAGGGCTACACCTACTAAGTAAAGCACACTATTTAGGTTGGTGAGTTTTTGTTTTATTTTTTGATGTGTGGTTGTGTAATTTTAGAGGTGTTTTTGAATAATAATAATAATATCCGGATGCTAAAACTGACCCTTGAATATGTGGGGTAGTGAAAGGTGAGGGTGGGTCTTAGAGATGATAAGGCTAGTTTTGATGATGCAAATGAGTATCTTGACTTTTTTTCTTCTTGTGTAATTTAGAATGGAACAAAACAATGTGTTTGAATTTGGGTTGCCTCTGAAATGAAAATGACCAAGGGAGGGAAATCGAGTAAATGTTTGTACTTGAAAAACTTAACTAGAATGATGTTTGTTAGCTTTGATTACTATTTTATAAAAGAGTTATTCACTAAAAATTGACCACTTTTTGAGCCAACGTAACCATGCCTGCCTAACTTAGGCCTAAGTGTGCTTGCGAATTTCATTTACTACCTTGCGAATTTCTTTTAATATTCCCGAGCATTAATATTTCATAAGTCTTGTTTTTTTGTTCCTTTAAAACCTACAAAAGATAAGTAGGTTATAAAATCACTTACAAATGAACAAAATGAATAACTGACGACACAAAATGAACCACTAGAAAGAAATGTGGGCAAGAACTAGATCAAAATATGACAAAAAAAAAAAAAAATCACCTTAAATCAACCCACGGATGCTCGATTGCAACACTGTTGTCATATCAAGTCGTGCATCCATGTCGCCCTCAAGGGATGAACAGCTGGATCATCTAGCAAGTATCTAGTGGAAAGCTTCTAGAAGCAAAAAAGACATTAAAGTCGAATTCACTGTCACATCATGGTCAAACAAGATGTTCATAGTCCAGTTTGAACTGTAGTAGAACTATACGAACCCAAAACAAATAAGTCAATTTCAACATATTGTCAGTCGGTTCCGAATTAAGAAGGAACACTCTCTTTAGATTTACTATAGTTCATCAATGTCAACCCGGACTTTATTTGTCTTCAAATGATTGGAGTCGAATATCCATTGGAAACAAAAACAATCATATATGGATCCCCATGGATCAAACCTATAAGTATAATCACAGAAAGACCATAACTCATGTTTACAAATACATATTCTTAATACCTCTAAGAAAATGTCAGATTCAACAAAGAGAATTTATAAGGTAGGAAAGAGAGCACACATCCAAACTTAAACCTACTTCTTTATACAAATGAGAACTGATATCACGGGTTCTCCATGCATGCCCAAAAGAAGAAACCTTTGAACAAATACAATGCTCCTCATGGATAAGCAAAAACCTAACACCTGCATAAAAGCTAAAATATATGATCGTGCTCTTCATAAACCAACGAAACATGTGGTGTCTATACAGATGATCTCATAACAAGCAACAAGTATGACAATAATGACCCCTAAACTCACACCAACTCCAAAATACTCAACACGCCTAAATGTATTGTGATGGAAATACCAGCAATGAGCAAAACGAGGAACTCCACACAAAACAAACTACATCAAGGTCAATCAAAAACAAACTGAAGCAAGTGCAACTGATCACTATCAGTCATCATCACCAACACATTCTAAGGGAGCTTTTTCATCGGTTTAATCGGTTTTTTGTTTATTCAGTTTGATTCTGTCAGTTTTTAACAATTCTAAATTAACTATATCCAAATCAAATACGGTTTTGGGTTATACGATTTCCATTTATTTAGGACAGTTAATCAGAAAATTTCTCATGTTTTTGGTCATATGATTTTCATTCACAAACTAGGGAAATAAGATAGCTTTTTTGTTACCCCCACGTATTTTTGTATTATATAAATTATTCACTTGGTCAAATATTAGACCAATTCGCGGGTGTAAAGTTGTAACGTCATGTTTGGACTGGTTATTTAACCCATAATATACATATACATATACATATCAAAGTAAAATTTCAACAATATCAATATAATAATTCATTCGGGTTATTCAATTAACCCATATTGGGAGAAAATTAACCACACATAAACCGAATAAGTTAGAGAAAATTACAAAAATAATCAAATTAGCTAATTACTTTTTAGAAAATAGCCAAAAAAAATAAAATTAAGTTGCATATTTAGCAATCGAAATCGTTAATGGAAATGGTCTATCTGCGATTTGCCGATCCCATCTGTGAATGTACAAGTAGCTAAAGCATAGACGTGTTTTAGCCAGTTGTACATTCTCAAATGATTTTTTTTCCCGTGTATATATAAGGAAGAATCATAATAAAATCGCAGATGGACAGTGCGATTTCCTTTCCCTTTGATCTGCGGGGTTTTTTTTTTTTTTTTTTTTTTTTTTTTTTTTTAATAATATTTGACTATGAAATCAATAGGTTTGGCTACGAAATCAACATATTTGACTACGAAATCAATGAGTTTGACTACGAAATAACCTTATTGAAAAATGAAGAGAAATCGTAAGGGAATGATCTAGAGAGAGTTTCTCTAAAATGAAGAGTGAAATGAAAGAAAAAAAAACGTTTTTATACTAAAAAATGAGAAATCGCAGATGAAAAAGGGAAATCACAGATGGACTAGTCTAGTCCATCTGCAAAGGTACTACCTAAAGCACAACTACGCTTTGGGTGCTTGTACCTTCACAGATGGAATGACAAAATCGCAGATGGACCATTCCCATCTGCTAGATGAGCAAAAGGACCGAACCGGCTGGAACCGGCCGGAACCGAACCGGAACCGGGAACCGGCTTCGGCCAAAATCAAGAACCGAACCAACCCGGCGGTTCTACCGGTTCTTGTCGTGTCTTCAAATGTTGGAACCGATCCTTGAAAAATAGCATCATACGATTCCGGTTTCATCCGGTTCTACCGGTTCCGGTTCCTACCAGTTCCCGGTTCCAAAAATCCACAGAAATAACGTCCCAATCCCAGCCCGACCGGTTCCATCGGGTTCTAGTTCCGGTGCCGGTTCCGGTACCGTTTCCGGCCGGTTCCTCGGTCCATATGCTCATCCCTACCATCTGCGATTTCAATGGTTATTTTTGCAACTTCGATTTTTTTTGGTTAAATTTGCAAAATAATTAGTGTTTTTGGCAAAATTTGTAATTTTCTCATTAAGTTATCCTTATCTTGTTAATCAAGCTAAATTACCCCAAAACTGAATAAACACAACCAAATAACCCATACCTTATTCGATTGGATGAATTATTCAAATGCAATTTTTATGACACTCCTAGCCAAACTCAAAGAAGAACCCAAAGATAAACAACATGCATCGAATGAACTTTAACCCATGAACTACTTTACAGATGAAGTAAAAACGAGTCATAAGAACCAACATGTTAGTTTGTGGTTGCTTCAAATAAAGCTCCTTGAATTTATACTGTATAACCTCGGTAGTAGTCTCCAAAAAAAGTAAGTCAATCACATCCTTTCATTTCCCATGGATAATTGTATTCGATTCAATGCTCATTCATCTTCTTAAGCTTCTGTGAAGATGTATGCTATTACAATCCCCACTCTTTATATTGGAAAGTGGAATGTGGATGATTTTGTAGCCAATATACTAGTGTCAAACGAGTAATATATTTTATCGAACACTTGGCGTGCGTCACAAATTTGCAAACCCTATAAACAAGAAAAACCCCAAAATGCACTCCAACAAAAAGAAAAGATTCACCGAATAATATTTGTGACACATCACACATACATTCAAATGGTGCTTTAAGACATACTTTGCATGGTCCTGCATCAAGAACATACATGATACGATGTTAGCATTCATGGTAACATTCTGTAAAAAGGAACAATGTTCATGCTTTCATGTCAAAACATAATATGAAGTCTTAACTTTGAAAGCTTAAAACTAAATTTACCAAAGCATATGAGAGATGAATCCATGTGAATCAGAGAATCGTCCTACCTGTTTTTATGGCACTTTTTGGAAGACTGATACTTGATCTCTGGAGCTGTTTCTCATCAGGCTTACAACCAAAAGTTATATATAAACACAATTTTAACCTCATTGGTCAAATAATCATATACTTGACTTCCTCTATTTCAAACAAACACCATTCACGTAAAAATGCAAAAAGAACACCACATATTTTATTTCTAAAATTTGACTACAATTGTTCATTCTTGCAAAGAACACCACTATATGCATACTGCAAAACTTCTCGGGAATTTTGCATTCAACTGAATATGAATTAAGTTATACAAGAAGAGTGTTTGCATTGGAACAAACAAGGTATGGCTTTATGGTTTGACATGATGATCATCATCAAGATTCATTTAGCAAAAAAAAAAAAAATGAAAGAATACAATACTAACTTTCCAGACATTTTTCTCATCTACATACCTGTTATAACATCATAAAAGATTGTTTCTCATTGTGAGCTCTAGTGTATCAAACCTATGTCTTGAATGTATAAACATTCGAGTCAATTTAACTGCAAAAATAAACATAAAATTACACAACGAAAAACACAATAGAATAGAATGTTGTAGAAATCAAAGATGGAAAAAGTAAAAACTAACCTGAAGTCATTTCAAGTGATTTGTTAACGTGTCCATCTTAGTCATTTCACAACCGATAGCCACAAAAAAGGAATTGACTTTTTGACCATATCAATCACTATAAATAGGAAACAGATTTTGCTTCACAAATCTCCTCATTACCAAGAACCACATTTTCAAGATAACGAACTGCATCAGCTTTTGAATCCAAACCTATTTTCTTCAACAATGCACTATGTGTACACGAATCAGGCTCAATTCCTCTATCCACCATCTCTGTATATAACCTCAAAGCCTCACTCCAATTCCCCAAATCACAATTCCCATTAATCAAAATGGTATAAGAATATTTATTAGCAACTAAACCCCTCGCTTCCATTTCAGAAAAATATCTATATGCTTGATCCATACGTCTACATTTGCAATAACCATTGATCAATGCATTATATGTAATCACATTTGGCATGATACCCTTCTCTTGCATCTCCATGAAATACATTAATGCCCATTCTACCCTTGCAGTAACCGCATGTGCGTGTATCAACACGGTGTACGTCACAACCGTAGGATCCACCCCTTTGCTTTGCATTTCATTAAACAAGTCTTTGGCTTTCTGAATCTTCCCAGATTCCAAATGTGAGCAAATAATACTTGTATATGTGAAATGATCAGGAACAAAGCCTTTACTAACCATTTGTTTTATCAACTCATTAGCTCCTTCGACATTTGCATCCTTACAAAGACCATGTACAAACACATTATATGTGATTAAATTTGGCCCAATACGTTTTTCAAGGATTTCTAGTAAACCAATTGCTCTTTTGGTATCACCAAGTTTCAGTTCTCCTGCTATTCGAGTGATGTACGCGTATTGATCAGGCTGCAAACCATGTCTAATCATTTCTTGATAAGTTTTTGTTGCCATTTCCAAATCACCCATCTTGTGACAAGTGTTTGCCAATATCGTGTAAGTGTAAACATCGGGAGGAAAACCAAGATTTACCATTTCGCCCTTGAGCTCCATTGCCTTTTGCATGTTCCCACTTCCACATAGCCCTTGCATAAGGGTGTTGTAGGTAATCATTGTGGGAAAAAGATCCCTACGCCTCAACTCGGATACCAACAAGAAAGCTTCTTTTATACGCCCCAAAAGACAATACCCATAAATCAAAATATTGTATGAAACTATATCGGGCATTAAACTGTTTTTTAGCATAATAGAATGTTGTTGGCGAGCATAAACGATTCTTCCTTGTTTGCATAATCCATACATGAGAATGTTGTATGTATGTACAGTTGGTGAAGCTCCTACAATCACCATTTCTTCAACAAGATTGACTGCTTCTTCAATTAAGCCTTTCTCACAATACCCACGAATTAAGGGATTGTAACTGTATGATGATACCTTCAAGCCCAAAACTAACATCTCAGAAAGCATCTCTTTTGCTTGATCAAAATCGCCTATTTTCACCATCCCACTAATCAATGCATTATAAGTAACATCATTGGGTTCACAGCCTTTTGTTTGCATCTTTTCCAAAAGGTTTAATGCTTGTCCCACTTCTCCCTCTTTGCAATACGAATCCAACAAAGTATTGTATGTTATGATGTTTGGCTCAATGTGATACACATTCATCATACTATAAACTTGTTTTCTTTTGTGAACTAATTTCTTATCTCTAAGCATCTTAAGAATCCTGTTGCAGTTCTTCACGTCTGGCAAGAACTTGCTTTCCACCATTTTATTAAAAACCCATAAACATTGCTCGACCATGACTTTCTTAGCTAAGAAAAAGAGCATAAAGTCGAGCAGCTTAGCTGCAATATTTGCATTCAGATTGCCATCGATTAAAGAATTCACAACCCCATTCAAATTCCCACAAACCATTTTTTCCATCACTGGATACGCCCGATTCATCAGATTGCTCTCCGCGAGAATCTCAAGAATAGCAATAAACGAATTATCTGAAGGCGTAAAGCCTGGTTGTTTTTCCACCCAATGGAAGAACCTAAGAGCAATCCTGGGGTGTTCTTTGATTGAACTAAGAACCCTAGTAAACAATTCGGGTTCAAATATCACTGCTTGGAATCTATCCTGAAGCGGGTTAGGACCCGGTTTAGTATTGTAACAAAATGCCCAATAATTTCTTTCAATCGCTGAAAATATGAGGTTTTTGAAATGAAACTCGGTGCAATCGATACTATTATTTGTACAGTTCTGGGTATTGGTTTTGACAAATGGGTAGTTCTGAGATTGATGAAAAGATTTCGATAAGAAAGTTAAACGAACCTTTATGAAATTGAAGCTGTGTTTTCCAGTGGTGACGATGGATTTTGAAGATCTAACATGGAGGGTCATTGAGCGTTGGTTATAGTGATTGAAGATGAGAAGAGATTCATGTGATATGATGGACAATTTGTTGCTAATTCGAAGCAGGTTTAGGGTTTTGAAAAATCTTGCACAGGGTAAGTAGAACAGAAGAGGAGGAATCGATCGACGTAGATTCATCCATCGCCACCAGCTCTAGTGGACGGCGGCTGGTTAGAGTGCTTCACCCCCTAGCCCAATTACTTCTTTAAATTGATGTCTTTATAATTTGGCCACTATAATTTTAGGTTCTTTCAAAACTGGCATCCAAGTTATTTTTTATAATTGACCACTAAACTTTAAAATAGTTTATATTTAGCTTCGAGCTGTAGACGTTTTTCTATTTGACTCACGATTCACGAGACATTTTTAGCAATCTATAATTAAAGGAGGATACAACACGGAAAAATATATTCTCACTTGTCATTGTACCTTCAGATTCAGGTTGAAAGACCTAAAATTTTATAGTTCTTTCCGTTTTAATTTTGGTGTTGTTAACACATTTATTTTTGTGTCAGGTTAGCATGGTTTAGACATTGTAAACGTGTCGTGTTGTGTTGACTTGAAACACTAAACATTGCAAATGTGTCGTTGTCGTGATGGTGTAGAGATGAGAATTTTGCCCAAAAACCCGAACCGAACTGAAAACAGAACCGAATTAGACCTGAATAAGCAATTCGATTCGGTTTTCGAGTATCTATATAAAGCTTATTCGGTTCGAATTACCCGAATAAGGGCTTATTCGGTCCAAAAGGACCGAACCGAATATGAAAAGTCATATTTTTTTCCTAACATGATTGCTTATTCAATCTTCTTTTCTATCGATCGTTACCCAACAAAACCCACGTAATACACCAAAAAAATCAATGCAATCGAATTCAATCATCTGTATTACACCAAATCGACGAGTCGACGACATTACTCTTTGATCGATTGAGGTTTTTCTCATCCTTGCGATAGTACTCTTTGATCGACAGTTGCAGCTACTGCCCTTGTGACTTACGATAACCTGGACTCATTGATCGATCATCACCGGTTCAAAGTTCAAACTTCAAATTCCATTCACGATAAGAAAAAAAAAAAAGTCGACCCTTGCATCTGGAAAAAATAATCGTCTCATCATCGTTGTTTTCTAGTTTCTACTATGATCAAACTCCATTCAAGTCATACAAAATACAATATTTATAATCACATTGTAAATGTTATTCGGTTTATTCGGGTTATTTGGCTCCTTAATCATCTTCTACATGTTGTTTGGGTTATTCGGGTCGGAACCGAACCAAACTCGTATTGCTTATTTGGTTCGGTTTTCGGTTCATACAATTACCCTTATTTGGTTTTCGGTTTATTTGGGTTCGGTTCGGTTCGGTTCCGACCCAAATAACATCCCTATGCTGGTGTGTAGGAGTTGAGGAGGCAAGAAAAAGGTGAAAACTCTTTCTTCGTACTTGGAGAGAGTAAGAGTTAGGAGGCGGAATGACAAAATTTATGTTGGATTAAGATGTCTAAAATCCAAATCAAATTGATATGATATTGATGAATAAAAGTCAAGTCTTTTTTGGGTTCTCCTCATAACCAATAAATTGTATTGATTGATTTTAAAAAGAGATAAATGATTTATTAATATATTATATGACTTATATATTAATTAAAAATAGTTATAATTACTTTAGAATTAATCAGAATTAATTTAGAATTAATTATAGATTAATTAGAATTAATTAAAAGTTGAAAAGTTGAGCGGATGACATGTTCTAGAATCCTCCTGCTATTGACGGTTTTGGAGGCTCTCTTGGAGCCTTCTAGAAGCCTTCATGAGAATAAACTAGGAACTAAACAATCACCTTATTTGAAATAATAATATTTTATGTTCAAATCACAGTTTTTAGATGTTTCCTTATCAGCTATAAATAAAGTCTTATCGTTGAAATTTTTGGCCAAACTTTCTAAAGAGATCAAATCCGAAAATTTCATACCTCTCCCCTTTCTCCTAAATATTATAGGGTTCTTGTATTGTGGGTGTGAACCATTAGAGGCTTGCATACAATTGTAACTAGTTTTCAAGAGATTGTTGAATTGTTCAAAGGGTTTGTTTACAACAACAAATAAGAGGTATATAACTGACGTTGTGAATTTTAATTTCAACTAGGATTAGAGTTTTGTTGTTCAATTGTATGTTGCTTCAATAGAGTTATGACATAGATCCAAAACTAGGTTGCATGTACCCTTAAAAGTTTAAGATATTTTTCCACATTATTACATTTAAAACCCATCAATTTATAACATGTTTAAATGATAAAGTTGAAAGAGTGCGAGTTAAACAAGTGTTGGGTGATGTCATAAGGAAGGAGTGATTCAGTGAAACTATAAAGTATGAAAGAAAACATAATAATTGAAAAGAAGTTTTCTAAATGGTTTAAGTCTTTTCCACATCATAAAAAGATTCAATCCAAAAAAAAACTTTTATATTTGATTTTGTTTTTGGTATGTCCAATGTATGTATTTTAAAAAAAAAATCCATTTAAATAAACATGAAATTTTCGAGTTGAAATTTTCAACTTTAACATAATTTGTTTGATTTGTGTATCCTTTCTTTCAAGTCAATTAGTTTAATTAAACAATTTGAAATCTCTTACCAAATTTTTTTATTTCGTATTGAAATTATGTCAGTTTTGCCACCTCTAATAGCACACGTAGATTCGTATATATTTTGTAGTCTTTTTACATAAGCATTTGTTAGAATATTTTTTTGATAAAATTTGTATTATTTGGAATTGCTTTTGTATATACTTATCTTTAGTGGTAGTACTTTTAGTATTTTCTCATAATTAACTAAATTAATTGTTGTATTTTGTATCATTGCGAAGTTATGTTCCTGTTCTACTCGATCAAAACATCGACAATGTTACAGCCTTTTGAAATCTCGATCTTCATTCTTGATCAATTTGGATTCTATTCATTAATCCTAACATGGTATTACGAGAATATGTATTGTTCTTGGTCTCTCATCATCCCAATCATATCCTTAGTAGTGCTCTTTGAGTTTTGGTCAGAAAAACCATTAAATCGCACGACCATGTCATGATTCTACAATAGATAATATTTATTAAATGTTTCAAACCTCACCCAAAAAATTCTACCAAATCATTTAATATTTTTTTTGGTTGTATTCTTTAACTACTACTCGTATTTTTTTTGTGCAAGTTAGATAGAATAAGACCTTCAGGTATGGAGGGGATTTCTACGCATGAAATCCGAGTTGGCGCACTTGAGGATGTGTGAACACCGTCCCCAAGCCTAGTAGTCGTGTTGTGGATTGGAGCTATTCATGGATGATCACAAAGGCTGTGATTGGCTGAAGGATCGAAGCCATCTGTTTCTCCTCTACCTTCCTTGTTTTACTCTGCATTTTTCCCATATTCATCTCTACAATCGACTCTATTCTCTTGTCTTTTGTCTCTCTGTTGTGAGAAGTGATGGAAAAAACGAAGACTGGGATGGACCTGTCGGTGATGGTGATGATGAACGGAGGTGATTTCCGATCAGGTAACGTTACATCGTTTTGTAATATGGATTTGGAACTGACTGGTGTTCTTGAATCAATTTATTCAAGAGACAAGTCTGTTCTTATCCTTGTTACATATGATGTCTTTGCTATTGCTTAGGTTGGAAATATGTGAGGGGTTGTAATCATGAGATAGTAGATGCTTGATGAAATACATATAAATTGTTTGATGAAATGCATCAATGAGATGTTTTATCAGATAAAGTTTCTAACATATAAATCCTTTGATGAAATGCATCAATGCGATGTTTTGATGTGTTGATAATGTGCATGAACTCATAGAAAGCTGTAGAGATTTTCCAAAGGATCAAACTAAAATCCTTGGAAACATTGAACCTCATGATGTATGAGATCGTTGGTTATTTAAAGGTTCTCTATGAATATAGATTAACCATGAACTTTTAAAATTATGTTTTTTTTTATCTAGTTTAATGTAAAAAATAAAAAATAAAAATGTAAATGATGTGGAGTGGTAACCATATTCAATGGTTAGTAATGTGGTAGTAAGGATCTAGTGAATATGATGGGGTGCTGATGTGGTGTCACTTTTCTAGTAAAGATGTAGTGACCATACCTTATGTAATAACATAATGCTCTTGTTTCTAAGCTTTATAGTAGGCAACATATGGTCTACACTCATGACTTGTGCCATTCGTCCATTCAGAATTATACTTGAGCTCTACGAATTCTAGCCTAACCCCTATGGTTTCCATCCATATTGGACCGACAAGTGTAACATTTTTTGGTACAACATGATCGATATTATGTTGTATAATTGTTATTAAAGTTAAAACACGAGTATCATCCATAATATATATGCTGTAGTGATAAAGAAATCTAATCTTATCGAAGCACTTCAAAGAAATCAAGAAGTAGTGCAACAATTTCTATCAAGTTCTAATGATGTACACATCATCCATCTTTGATGCAGCAACACACCCAACCTTTTAGATTTATTGCAGAAAAACAAGAGCAAATCTACCAACTTACGGTGGGTTTTGTGAGTATTATATAATTTTCATCATCCTTAGAACAATACATGAGTGTCTCATTCTATTTGATATAGTCATGTAACACCATGCAAAAACTTATTCATCATTAAAAACAATGATATTATATTATTTGTAGTTATGAAGTTTTGGTGGGTGTTTAAAGCCTAGAAATGGTGAATCGACTCTTGATCCATCTAAATATGGACTTGAGCTTGTAATTAGTGATATTATCTTATTTGGAAACGATCAATTTGGTCAAATCTGAAGTTTTAGAGCTTGGGTGAAGTTTTTGAGATATAATATATATCTAAATTTGAATTTAACTAAAACTGAATTGTAAATAGCATTCTAGAACACCTTCACATGCGGAAAGAGCTTTGAAAATCCTTTTCCAAGGTTTCATGTGTAATGATTCATATGTTACTTAAATAATGATGTTGTTACTATGACGGTACGGGGCAAAAATGAAAATATGGTTATTTAAAGATAAATACAATAAAGATTCAAAAAAATATCATTTATTTTTTTATTATAGACGTGTTTAATTAACAATAATAATCAATCCAAATTGTTTATCTTTTGAGCTAATTTAAGTTTGAACCAACTTTAAGCCCTAACAATCATTTAGATAATAATATATATATATATATATATATATATATATATATATATATATATATATATATATATATATATATCCCAAAAAAATTGAGCCTCTGGAGACGTGGGCTCTGGGCGGTCGTCTGAGTTGTCCACCGTTTGACCGGCCTCTTCCGTACATAAGTTATACTTTTGATCTTCTCTTGTAATATATACTTTGAGTAACCATTTTTCAAGGGTTTACTTTGTGAATTCCCTTAGAACGAGGAACAATGATAATATGAATTTAGAAGACTTTGGGGTTGGGTCTTTATTCCATATCATACATTGCATTTTTTACGGTATTTATTCTTCATGGTGTTTATAAGTTTATGATATCGATAACATTCTTTGCAATCCTTCACCACAAATTGAGTTTAAAGAGCTTTAATGAGTTCTACATATATCTAACCATTTAAGACAATATATTTAAAAAAATATAGCATGCATATTGCTACATAGTATTTTGAAAACCTGAACCGTTTGATTTGATTACCAATTACAACATGATGTTTTCAATCAATCATATTTAAAATTATACACTATATTATATAATTACGAGATGTACTTTCTATTGATAATACAACATTTTCACTTCTTACAATTTTTTATAGTCTTATAGATATTACACAAAACAGTAAAAAAAATACGACATTAAATGTTAGCAAAGTGGGTATCTATTATTACATTTAAATGGTATATTATCCAAAACTTACACCCTTTTTTGAGCGAAGAAAGAGACACGTAACATGTAAAACATGAGGTCTCCTTTCCATGCATTTGTACCTCACATTCTCACGTATCCTCCTCTTCATATTTATCATTCCCCTTCCCCCTCGCTGCAACAGAATCCAAAAAGAGACCGTAAAGTTTTCAGAAATGGCGCCGGAAACTAAAAAGCAATCTGTGTTCCCAACGGACACGGAGGAAGTGAAGATCATTTTCAACCGTTTCGACACCAATGGCGACGGTAGAATCTCAGAGGAGGAGCTAATCGGCGTCCTGAAGTCATTCGGATCCGATACATCTCCGGACGAGGTGAAGCGAATAATGGCTGAAATTGATACCGACTCCGACGGCTCCATTAGCCTCGATGAGTTCGTGGGATTCTGCAAAGGACTCGCCGGAGAATCTGAAATCGACGACCTCAGGGAAACGTTCAAGCTCTACGATCAAGACAGCAACGGAAAGATCTCCGCGTCGGAATTGCATCAGATCTTGTGTAAATTGGGGGAGAACTACACCGTTGAAAGTTGTGCGAATATGATTAAGTCGGTTGATGCTGATGGGGATGGTTTCGTCGATTTTGAAGAATTCAAGAAGATGATGTCGAAGAATTAATATCACATCGCATTGTAGAATAGTAGGTGGGTTTACACTGATTCTATATTTCATGCAAAAACTTGATTTTTTTGTTTTGGGTCCATGGATTTAATCATTCCCTTTGGCGAAATATCGATTGAAAATTATTGTAATGTGTTTTTTGATTTCAAATGCACAAAAATATTCTTTTAGTTAAATTTGTTTGTTGTATCAAGTTTTTGAAATTATATGATATTTAATTTCTATATGCTGCATATTTAAAAGGGTTTGATTACTTGATGGTAGTTGTATGTAATTCCGCAAAACATGAGGGGGTGTATGTGTATGTGAACGCACATTTTCCTTAAAAATAACATTGCGCGCAAGATCGAAGATTTGGATGTAGTAGGTAGGATTGCTAACATGCACTACGCCTTCCGAACCAAATTCCCCTAAAACCCCAGAAAATCAAAGTTCAAATTTAACCGGAAAGTATCAAGAACAATGGGAAGTACAAATGCTCTCGTCAATCTTCAGTTCAACTCAAACAATTGCTTCAATTGTGAGATTTCTAGAACAAATCATTCAAATTCCTTGCAGATCAATCAAAAAAAGACGTATCTGAATGTCTCAAATAAGAGGCAAAATAAGTTTGATAGAGTCGTTTGTTTTGCTGTTGAGGATATGAGGGATATGCAAAGAAAGCTTGGTATCGGGTTTGGAGGATCAATTGTTGAATCTAAACCTAGTAAGTGAAAAACCTAATTTCATTTCTTGTTTTTAAATCGATTATGACTAGGGTTTATGTTACATATTAAAGAATTGATTAATGTATTTATGTAATTCGTTCGTAATTTGATCGATCTTTGGGGGTTAATGAAATAAGTTGCATTCTTTTCTTTGTTATAGAGGTGGTTGAGGAGATAATAGAAGATAAAAAATCAGAAAACGAAGGCGCAATTTATAAATTTCTTTATCCGGATAAGGAACTTCTTCCAGAAGATAAAGAAATGAGCATCTTCGATCATCTGGAAGAGCTTCGAGAACGGCTTTTTGTGTCCGTTTTGGCTGTCGGAGCCGCCATCTTAGGATGCTTCGTGTACTCAAAAGAACTCATAAAGCTTCTAGAAGCTCCGGTCAGTACTCAAGGCGTTAGATTCTTACAATTAGCCCCCGGAGAGTTTTTCTTCACAACTATAAAGGTCAGAAATCAGAATCCAATTTATAACACATTTTATATAAAAGAGCTCGAGTTTTCATGAAATTCATAACATTTGTTGTTATAGGTTTCTGGGTACTGTGGCATTCTTTTAGGAAGCCCTGTGATTCTCTATGAAATCATAGCTTTTGTTCTTCCGGGGTTAACAAAATCAGAAAGAAAATTCCTAGCCCCAATTGTTCTTGGATCATCAATTCTATTCTACGCCGGAATCGCGTTTTCCTATTCCGTTCTCACTCCGGCTGCTTTGAACTTTTTCGTTACATACGCAGAAGGGGTTGTGGAATCATTATGGTCGATTGATCAATATTTTGAATTTGTTCTCGTGCTTATGTTCAGCACCGGATTGTCATTCCAGGTAAACTTATTCGAATCGGAATCAGAATCTCTGGTGAATGGAATGGAATTGGATAATGTAGATGGTTTTTCATTTTTGTTTGTTGTTGATAAGTTGATTAAATGATCATACAGGTTCCAGTGATACAACTGTTACTAGGTCAAGTTGGTTTGGTGTCTGGGGATCAAATGTTGTCAATATGGAGATATGTGGTTGTTGGTGCGGTTATTGCTGCGGCTATTGTGACTCCATCAACCGACCCGTTGACTCAGTTGCTTCTTGCGGGACCGCTTTTGGGTCTTTATTTTGGTGGTGCATACACCGTCAAGTTCATCGGCCGGTAGACTGTAGAGGCATGACTGTCTACATCTGTCATCTGTTATCTGTCATCTGCTACCTGACGTCCTTATGGGCATTGGGTATAGTTGTTGGAATGGGATTCAGTAATTTGAAATTTGAATTCTGAATCTTTGTATGTTGTAATATTGAAATTATGATATCTTTATGAATAAAACATATGCATTTCTACTTGGAAACAAAATATACAAACATCATTTAATCAACTTTATAGTTACATAAACGAAACACAAACAAGTACACTTTAACTTCACATTATTCTCTCCACAGACGATTCCTCATTAAATAACCTCTCTCTCACCTTTGTAGCCTGTACAATAAAACCCGATTAGTTACTTTACATTTTTCTCAAGTTACGTTTAAAATCATGATTAGAGCAAACCTGTTTTTCGTAATTTGTGGAAATGGTTACAGTGGTGAGTAAAATAAGTTGTATTGCAGCACCCACAAGGATTCCAATCCATAGACCAACTCCTCGTAATGATGTGTAGAATCCCAAGAAAGCAGCAACCGGAATCCCAGCAAGATAAAAAGCAGCAAGATTGATATAAGCCCCAAGATGTTGCCACCCAACACCCCTCGCAACACCTAATTCAATAATATATCTAATCAACAAATACAAATATTCATGTTTCTTTATGAACATAACAAAACACTTTGTAAGTTGTAAAATAACCTGAAAGGGTTCCTTGTAGACTATCCATGATAATGTTTAAGCAAAGAAGAGGAGCCATTTTTGTAACATAGTCAACAACTTCCTTTTCGTTTGTGAAAATATACCCGAAAACACGCCTACTAACAAAAACACTTGTGCTAATGACACTTGTTTCGATGATGGCAAGGATAAGGACAACATAGACTGCCATACGGGCGCCACGTGGGTTTCCAGCCCCTAGCTCATTCGATACCCTTGTGCTGGAAATACAAAAAAATATGTTTACTATAGAAAAATGGTTGCCCAATTTCAACTTTTGGCCTTTTTATATATTTATTTATGATTTATGATATATGATATGATACCAACCTTATTCCAGCCCCGAATCCGAATGCTATGGCGTAAAGTGTCGCAATAGTATTGAGACTGTTCTTACATCAAAATCACAACTTATTTTTTAATGAAAAAATAGGTTAATGACAAAATCGACCATCCCAAGTTATTTATTGGGATTTACCCATTTGGTCATGAAAGTTCTAAAAAGGTTTTGTTCAATGGTCAAATACATACCATACAGAAAGAACAGAAGTTTCAAGCTCCGGATTTGGGAGAAGACCGGATAACAATATTAGAATTTCATATGACCACCATTCAAGACTGCAAATATTTTAATGTTTAAAAATGTTAAATATAATTTGCAAATATAATGAAATATATAATTTTTGTAGAAAGAGAGAAAGAGTAGCAACCAAATCATGACAGCGGAAGGGATAGCATAGCTAAAGAACTGTTTCATCCCATGGACAACCTCGATCGATATAGGGGCGCGTGTTTTTTCACACGAGGGAGAATATTTCATGTAAAAGAAAAGAAAGATTGCATTTAGCCACGTTGTAATACCCATGGAAATTGCTCCCCCAATGTTTGCTAATGTGGTCTTGTATACAAGGGCATAACAAAGAGGAATGTGTAAAAGTAGAGCAACAGTTGAGCTAATGAGCATAGGCCATAGCATGCTTTGCATTTGGAAATAACGAACGAGTGGTTGTAGTACTGCATACGCAAAGATTGCAGGGATGAGCCAAGTTATGAATTTTCCAGCTTCATGTGAGATTGAAGGGTTTTGACCAATAAGAAGGAGTATAGCTCCTGTATTTTTCCAGATGATAGAGAGAGGAATGCAAACGATTATAAGAGAGAAAATGGCGGTGTAAGTTTGAGTTCCGAATTTTTTGTATTGTTGAGCTCCGTAAGCTTGTCCACATAACGTTTCCAGTGCACTTGACATCCCCATCTGTTGAAACAAATCCAAAATCAAATTGTTAAATTAATGATCATAAATTCATACAACAACGAAGCTGTTGTATATCATTTCATTATTATAGGAGAACAGAAATGTAGGGATTCGATTTACATCTTAATAATTCGAATAAGTTATAAGACAGAGAGGTAAACTTTTGAGTTTTTGAGATTTATCTACTTTCAGAACGCTTCAATTGCAAAATTGGATATGGATTCTGCTAGAAATTCAACAACAAGTTTAGTCTATCGTAGTAGAATTTGTTGCAGATCTGGATAAAATCAGCTAGTTTCCCCCAGAAGTTCATCCTAATAAATTTGAAGTTTCGAAAGTAAACCATGACATTCCAAGTATGAATATTAACAAATTCGTGGAGAATTTTAGTATGTGACAGCATCAGCAATTCGTATTCAACGTCATCTAACGTTAGAATTATGAGAGAGAGAGAGAGAGAGAGAGAGAGCTGACGATTAAGCTGAAACCAGTGACGCTAGAAATGGAGATGGCAATGGCGGCGCTAGAAAGAGCAAGCTCACCGAGGTGACCGACCATCATGACCGAGATAACCTGCAACAAATACTGTGAAAGAGTCACTGCCACCATTGGCGCTGCTATGTATCCGAATTTCTTAGCCTCCTCCCCAAATACGCTCCATGTTAATCTACGATTAGGATTATCATCTCTTTCAATCAACGGTAATCCTCCTTCCATCCAGCCTGCCTCTCACTGCTGCCTCAGACTAACGCACCGCCGCACCGGCCTCAATCAGGAACTGGATAATTTTCTCGTCTTGTTGCTCTCAGACTCAGATAGTATTATGGGGAGCGATCATCATTTATGGCGTCACTCGGCAACTTTAATGCATTCAAAAAATTCAGAAGAAAATGAAAATATCATCGTAAAACAAAAGTTATTCTAGGGACCACTTTTTTTGTATTTTATTATTTTGTTAAAATAAACGCCGCTAATTTCATCCGTAAAGTTGGCAAATATACCCAAATACGTAAAAAGGCGTAATGATTTTGAATTTTAAGCGAGTAACCAAAAAAAAAACGCAATTAAAAAAAGAAAATTTAAATATCCGAATATTTCTCGTTACTACTTACATATATACTTATTTAAAAGAAAATAAAAAAATAAAAAATATACATTAAATATATAAATGTTATTATTTAATTGGATAAAATGATTTGTAAAAAGAAAAATTAGTAGGAAGATATTAAATTTCTTTATTTAAAATTATGATAATGTTATAAAATATTATTGAGAAAATAAAACTAAACACTAGTCATAACTTTGAATAGTCCTTGTGGTATTGTGTTACTTGAAGATGTGGTCTTTAAGTAAGCTTTTCATTTATAGAGTCCTTAAATGTTTAATTTGTTGCACATGTTGATTTTATTATTAGTTTTTGGTATATGTTTAGTCCTCGTTTAACCTAAAAATCCATTTAACCTAAAAAGATTATTATGTTCCTATATATATTTCATTTTTAATAATTTTATATTTTGTTGATTGTTTATTTATTAAATAAATGTTTAATAAATAGGTGGATCCCACCACCCACAACTTAAGCGCTTAACCATTTTATCTTTTCAACTTCCCAACTTTCCCATCCATGGATCAAAGAACAAAAGTAGTCGCCTCTCTTCTACACATCTGTTGTCGGAAAACATTGCCGCCCGACAACTCTTTATCTCTTTCTTTTCTTTGTTGTCAGATTGCTATTATACTATCAGTTCCAACCAACTAAACCTTTCCCCCATTTTCCTGATTCACGATTATACCACCACAGGTATTCCCGAAGACCCTCTGGCCGCCAAACTATTGGTACTCTAACCAACATACCACTACTCCTATGTCCTGACATATAAAAATATATACTATAATACATAGTATAGTGAGGAAAATCACTTGAATCGAATACCCAAGGAAATACAACAACACACTAGCTCATTTGTAACATCCGAAATGTAGGTACTTGAACTTTGACACTTGAAATGAAAGTATTTTAGCATATGAAGTCCTTACGTACGTTGGGTATACTATGAGTACGCTTAGCGTACTAGGATGGGATGATCGCAGATTGGCACCACGTACACGGGGCGTACATGGCGGGAGTCAAAACCCTAATTTTTGGACCATGAACCACTATTTAAATATACTTATACCTTTTGGACCAAACCCTAAACAACCTTCATACCCTCTTTTCATCCTCAAACCCTATATTTGCAAGTGTGTGTGAGTTTTAAGCCTAAAGGTGATTTTGGTGGACATTTTGTTGGATTTGCAAGAAAATGGAAGTGGTGTTCAAGCTTTGAACGTGGGAAAAGAATAAGGATTCTACATCTAGAGCATCATGGTGGGATTTTGAAGGTATAAAGCTTTCACCTTGCTAATCCTTGTTGTTAGTTGAGTTAGGGTTTTGTAAAAATCCACTTTTGAGTCCATGAATCCTCTATTGTGACTTTGAGCAACTCCAGAGATTAGAAATATTAGATCTGGGGTCCTTTGGCTTGGTTAAAGCATAAAAATGCTAACTTGATGATGGTTATGGCTCCATGCATGAGTTTAAGACTTTTAAGATAGTCTTAATGAACCAAGTGAAGTGTTGGGTTTACATATGACACGCAAAAGCATAAAGTTGCCAACTTCATGCCTTAGGACCTTTGAAGTGACCAACATCTAGAATTTGAGCGTAAAGTCTTCGTGTATTAAGCACTTAATGGATTTTGTACAAAGCAGCATGTACGCTGGGCGTACTATCTTGTACACTACGCGTACAACTCATGAACTTAGTACGCTAAACGTATTGAAGAGGTACGTTAGGCATACGCTTCTAGTATGCTTTGGACTTCCGAACGACTTGTGGGCCGGTTGCGCCCTAATTAGCTTTGGGCATGGATCTTCTAGTGTTTGGGCCTATGAACTTACTATTGGACCATTGATGGCATGATTGGGCCTTTTTAGGCCTTGTGGCCCATTATGGTTTGGACTTTGGATTCTAGGCCTATTAGTAAAGGAAATATTTTTGGGCTATAATGGAGGGACTTGGACTTAGGATTTTGGGCTCCTTGACTAGCTTGTGTCATAATCCTAATTTGGGTTATTTTTATATTTATACAATGTAAGATTTTGGATTGATAGTTGAGCAACTATTTGATTTCAGCCGATTAAGGTGAGTCTTCTCATTATACCAATAGGTTGAAGACACCAATGTCGACCTATTAACTGATATGTGGATTTAGCAGTTGATATGAAATGGTTTTGTTAGTTCGTATGTAATGAATTGTATGAAGACCATGGGCGGAGCCCATGACACCTGGTAAAGACCATGGGGGAGCCCATTACCCTTGGATGTTAGACCATGGGGGTAGCCCATGGCATTCCAGGTGAAGACTATAGAGGGAGTCCACAGCAACTCTATATGTATATATGTTGCATGGTACTATGTGATTATATGTTTTTTGTATTTTGGGAATTCACTAAGCAATCGCTTACAGTTTGTTGGGTGTTTCAGGTACTTCTGGTTTTAAGGGGAAGGGTCCGACTTGATGTCGCTGTTGGATTAGTGTCTAAGTCCATAACTATTTTGGTATGTACTTGACCCGATGGTGCATGGTCCTTTTGGGTTGCCTTCACCAAAGCAACTTGATAGGATGAATTATGGAGAGTAAGGATTAAATATGATTTATTAATACGTTATGGGAATAATATATTAAAGGAGAAATCATATTGTTTAATTAATATTAGTCAATAATTAATTGGTAATTAGTTTTGTGACTAAAAGAGATTAATTAAACTTAAGGGACTGGAATTGTAATTATAAGATAATTGCAATTTGGGCCATGGATTGCCTTGTATTAAAGGATGGACGAATTCTAATGGGAAACCCATAAGGAAATCGTCCATGGGCTTAATTATAGGAGTCTATGGGTTGCTTAGGGCTTAAGCATCCAAATTAGGGTTTCCTTGTTAGATAACCCTAATAGCCCAACTATATAAAGACCCCTTAAGGCTCAAAAACGTGGCTTATGTTCTTGTAAGGGTTTACACATGTTTTTGGCAGCCTCCAACCTCTCTCCTCTTCATCCTCTTGCTTATGGTGTTTGTGAACCATTAGAGGAGTGACACTTGTGACTCTAGCCTTCCAAAGTCAATACAAGGAGGAATTGGGATTGTTATTGCTATATAACAATCAAGGTATGATCTTAAACCTAATTACATATTAATATGATTACTTGAATGCTAGAATTAGGGTTTATAGTCTTGGATTCAAAGCATGTACAATAGAGAAACCTAGATCCGAGCATTAGGGTTTGTATGAGCACATAGGATGTCTTATGACCAAAACCCATCAGTGGTATCAGAGCATAGCTTGGTTTCAATTGTATTGATGCATTGTATAACTAAAAAATTCAATTTTTTGGATTGTGGAGGCTGGACTCGCCAAGTCCATGGCTGAACTCGACGAGTCCATGCCTGACTCGACGAGTCAACTCGTCAGATAATGTTTATCTCGGGATTTCTTGCTGTTTTTGCATATGGATAGTTACCTTATCATGTTAGATCAATATAAATCCGATTTTATGATATATATGACTATATTGTTGATCTAATTAAAGATATTTATCAATTAACTAGATAATTGTTTCCTTATAAGATAATTGATTAATTATTTTAAGTAAATTGATAAATTGATTTGCAAGAAATCATTAAACAAATAAAATATGGATAATTATGTAACTAAATGTTAGTTTAGATTATTTGTTATTTGATCCTTGTTGTTATGAAAAGTTTCATATTTTCCCCTTTAGGTTTTATAGTTTAAATTTGAACCCCAAAGTTTTGAAGTTTTGAAATTTAAATAGTTAAAACCCTAATGTTTTGAAATGTTTCAAAACTTGCCATCAAGTTTTGGAATTTAAAAGTTGATTAAAAGTTTAATTAACAATGTTAAATTCTAAAACCCTAGTAATGTTTTGAAAAGTTCAAATCACACCCTTATGGTTTTATTAATTAATTAAGGAGTATAATTAAAAGAGATTTAATAAATCCATAAAGGTTTAGGTTAACCATTTAATTGAATTAAAAGTGTAATTGTTAAAGTTAACCATATAGTATTTTAAAAGTATAAAATACACCCTATACTATATATAAGATTAAAAGTCTAACATTATATATATGTATGAGTAAAAGTCAGTCTTACCGTTAGTAGGCCTCATTCACGAAGCTGGTCTATAAGGGGTGTTTAAGGAAATTGCCTATAAAATGGCGATTGAATGGGTATCCACTCTTACCCACCGCACTCTTGACTAGTGGAGGGTTGTTAGCCGAACGGGTAGGATATGACGAAACCTTCCATTATAAGTATAATGAAATACAAAGTAACTAAATGTTTTTCAAATTCCCAATCTTAGTTACTTAGGCAAAAGTGAATTGATGCAATTCCATGAAATTACACTTTGTGCCCTTGCGAAGATGTTAGTGGAGCGTGTGTGGTTTACCAGCACACTAAATGGTTCTGAGCAAAGGTAGCAAAGGGTGACTCAATGTTTGTCATAGTTCGGTGGAGCGTGTGTGGTTTACCGGCACATCGAATAGGTGATTGTAACATGTGAGGGCACCATGTAGTTTGCATGGTTATTCACACCCGCTTTATGATCCTCGGCATCCCAGTCACAAACTAGAGGGGCATATCGAGATTTAAACATGCCATTGAAATGTTCAATGAATCTCAAAGGATCTAGGAGTTTTCATAGATTTAAAACTTAAATTTCTTTTTCGTTTTTCATGGTGGAAATTAGTGAATCGTCATTCACTTACCTTCAAATGTTCTGTAATTTGGGTTACGGCATCCC